TTCAAACAAATTTTTTATAAAACTTTTGATAAGCACCGTAGATTATATTAATTTATATGTGAATAAATTAATCTAATTAATCTAAAAATATGATAATAAAATTTAATAATCTCGAAATTCATATTAAGAAAGTCAAAAGACACGAATCTATAAAAGAGTATGCTAATAACTTAAAATTAAGATCAGTTTATATATGACCATCAATAGATTCAATTAAAATTTATATTTTTAACGAAAATTATTAAAAATTCATATGGTATCTTGTCCCAGTCCTACATAATCTTATTACGTCAAATAAACTCCCTTAATATCTCTCCATACCAACGATGGGGATAAACTCATTCCGTTCTTAATGAAAATGACGTGTATTTTAGTTAAAGATTTCAAACTTTAATTAACTTCAGCATGAACTCATTTCGATTATTATCTTTAAATATTATCTTCTAGTATATAATACTTATATACAATATTTGAGATCATATAAATAATCGTGAAATTTTTAATCATATTTATAAAAAAAAATATTTAATATTACATGCACAATAAATGAAATCTATCTTTTATTAAATAAATAATAATATTTTTTATTATATCTCATACTTTTAAAATAACATTCTCAACACACCAGAGGTTTCAAAAAAAGCAAGAGGTACGTACTTATTTTCTGTCATAAAACTTCATAAAATTAACCACAAAATTATTATTATCTGCATCGTAGTAATTTAAAGGTAAAATGAAATTGCTTTTACTAACTATGTTTGTTGTCTAATTTCTATAGACCTACTCTATTAAGGCAATGCACATTTGCCATGTGTCAAAATTTGAGTGTCAATCCAAGTGCAATGTCCCATTGAATTTGTATTCATTCATTTATAAGCAAGCAGCCTAAAATAATGTTGGTCTCAAATAAAATACATCCAAAGAAGCTGTGGTGACCCATGATTTGATAGACGCGCGTCCAATGTATACTCGCCCTGTTTCAAACATCTACGCATGAAACGTCAATGCATTAGAGGATGGCGGAAAATGGGGGGAAAGAGGAAGAAAGGCAAAAAAAAAGGTCACGTATGAGGTCAATGGTAGACGATGAAACTCGAATTGTGAATGGGTAAAAAATTTAAGGACAGTAGGTCAGATTTTTTAATATTTAAATATGTAAAAAATCACATAAAATTTAAAAAATCTATAAATCTAACCGTTAAAAAAATTTAATTTACCGATACGTCAGCATAACAGAAAATCTCTCAAAAGTTTAAGTCTTTGACCATTTTATTGGTAGATAAGTTGATTGCTTCATTTAGCAAAAGTTGATTGGTTTTATAGGCATTGTGGAGGAGGAGAGGACACTAATACTATGTTTAGTAGGAATGAAAGAAAATATGATATAAATGAAATATGGAATTGATGGAAAATAGCAATAATGGAAAAAAATTGATTTTCTTTTATGTTATTTGGTATGAGAAGATAGAAAGAAAATGAATTTACCTTCACTTGTTTGGTATTGAAAGTTAAATTGAGAGGAAATAAAAAAATTTACTCATAAATTACTTTTATACCCTTAAATTTTTTGTTTGGATGTTGATGGAGAAAATAGTAGTTTAGTAACTTTGTTTACTTTAATTAGTTGTTCTCATTTTTCATCTCATTTTCTGTCCACTTGTGGAAAGAAGAAAAATGGTGGGACCCACATGTATTATTTTCTACTTCATTTTCTCTTCCTTTCTCTTTTCTCTCCTACCAAACAACTTACATTTCCATTTTCTCTCTCAAAATCTCTCCACCTTCTTCCTTCCTTCTGCTTTTCTTTCCTACCAAACATACTCTAACTGTTCTTTATTTTCTTTCCCTTTCCTCAATAAAAAAGACAAGAAATAAATAAAAAAAGGGTTGAACTAGCTGCAATATTCATTTATGTGGAATAGTTCCAATAGGAATAGTTTGTACCATCAAGTAATGGTGGCACGACAATTCATCCTCATTCCTTCTGTCCGTCCATAGTCTTGAGCTCGAGATCTCACTATTGGTACAACGACGTATTCTGATACCAATTGTTAAATCATATAGATTAACAATCAGCGTTTTGTGCGCATAGAATGCCTTACTCAACTCTGTCTAAAAAGAAACCAAAAGCTGTTGTGTAATAGAAAATTACGAAATAATAAAGGACACAGCGATATGGTTATTTAACGTGGCTAAAAACCCTTTCGAGAAAAAAACCACTTGTGCCGGAACACCAGCACAAAGAAAGAATCCACTATCACCCAAAACAATTATAAAACTTAGATTTACAAGAAACCTCCGAATCTTCACCAACTCCTAACTCACAGTGACTCCTCCTTGACTCATCTTCAGACTCCCCGCCTTACTCTGAGTCTTCTGCTCGTCTTCGATCCTCCTGACCTACTCCAAGCACATTGCCCGCCTTCAGTCTTCCTGACTCACTTCGAGCACCTTGATCCGCCTTCGGCTTCTCCTCGGACCTACTCCGGATCCTCACAAAAGATGCATACAACAGGGTTGAGAGACGCAAATAAGCCTAAGGAAAGTTCTGGTTTTTCTCTCACACTAAAGCATAATAGAAGCACTCAAATTTTCTCTCACAAATAAAACACTTAGGAAATAAATCAGTGCTCTCTAACTCTCAAAGGTTTGAATAAGACCTATTTAAATACTGAACCCAGATATGAGAGAAGTCTAGGGTCTCTCCACTCAGAGTTGAGATTTGATTGTGATCTTCATGATTGAATTGCTTCATTAAAACTAGGTGCCATTGTGTGAACAGAAAGTTTGAACCTGCAACTGTCAAAACAATCTGGACAGACAACTCGTGATTTGTTAACAAAAATGGATTCAATCAAAATCTGAGATTGAATAGAAAAATCCTGAATGAAATGTCCAAATAAACGCAATCAAGAAATGAATTGATCCTTAATGAACCTAGACCCAATTATGCTTCAGGATCGAAACCACAAAAACCAAAATCACAAAAGTTTACCAAAAATAGATGAGATAAATTTGTGATAAGCAAATAAAAAATATTATCTCATAAAAATGACAACTTTATCCTACAAATAATATGAATATAGTCCTAAAGTCAACCTGTGTTGACAGCCAACAAAATCTATAAATATCCAATCAAATCGGGCTATTTATAAAAACAAAATATGGAAAAATCAATCAACAAAATAAGAAACAAAAAAGTAAAAATGGCTACACTTTGTTAAATTGATTTGATACAAGGATGACAATAAATCAAGCACAAATCCCACGCCAAGCATAAATGCCACAAGGAAAGATTTGTGCCACATAGGGCTAAAATTCTAACACTTTCAAATTTTAATTATGAAGAGAAACACAATTTCTCTGTTTCTTAAGAAATCCAAAGATGCTAAAAATAAATTTAAAAAGGTGCTTTATGTTTAGGGAACTTGTGCAGTAGTGAATAGGGAATGTCTTTTTTAATTGGAAGAAATTGTTATTTTGACTGCTAAATTAAGATTTAATGATTTGATCTGTGACTATTCACGTTATAAATATTTACAATGTGTTACATAGAACTATTGTAATCACATATCAATTATTAAAACTTAAAAAGATAAAAATAAAATAAAATACTTAAATGAAATTTACAATTCTGAAAGAAATTTTAAATTTTTCTTTAGAAAAGTTTTTTTTTTTTTTTTTTTTTTTTTTTTTTTAAATTTTTAAAAAAATTTTTAATTTTTTTTTTAAAAAATTTTTTTAAAAAGCCATATTTTTTAATTTTGCTAGTAAGTCTTTTTTACGGAGCTAAAGTTTTGGTTAAAGGTGGTAAATGACATGATAGTAAACTGAAACCAACACGAAATTAGCATTGTATGAATTAAATTGTAATATTTTTAATTTGGTAATTTCTTAAATTAAGAGATTTAATAGTATGAGATCTTCTCTGGTACGCTAACATATCGATATGTTAGATTTTTTATTTGTTATATCTGTATAAAATCACGTAAAAATTTAAAGATATACAAATATAATAATTAAACAAATTTGACCTAACGGTACACTAGGCGTATCAGAAAATCTCTATAATAGTATTAGGTAACTTTATTATAACTTATAGTTGTATAGAGAACGAAATTAGAATATGCAGATGCTTCGTCCAATCATGTCAAATCTTCATGTTCTCCTGTTGCTTATATTTCTTATTTAACCTTTAGACCACGTTCATTTTATTAATTCGAGTTTGATTATAATAAAAATTTATTTAAAACAGTCACATTTAATTTTTTATTACAGTAAAAAATATTTACATAAAATCACATTTTAACTCAAATTAAAAACTTGGGCCCGTTTAGTTCGCTGATTTGAGTTTTTAATTCGAATTGAGATGTGATTTTATGTGAGAGCTTTTTACTGTAGCAAAAAAGTTAGATTTGATTGTTTGTGAGAGCTTTTTACTGTAGCAAAACTCAAATTTTAAACTCGAATCAGCGAAATAAATAGGACCTAAATTAACAAACTAAATGAGCTCATAATATAATTAATAAATAGAGAGTCAGAGTGCCAAAAACTGCCGCACTAAACAAATAATAATAATAATAACAAACAGAACCCTACCAAATACCCTTGAGAAAAAGAAAATCAATGCATCCCATATGTGAGTTCACTTTATTGATTTGAGTTTAAAATTTAAGTTTTATTACAGTAAATTTTTTTTAAAAATAATCACATTTAATTTTTTTATTATAATGAAAAACTCTCATAAAAAATCACATTTAAACTTAAATTATAAACTCGAATCAAGTATTTCCTTGTTTCGCGCGTAGGATACCGACAAAAGTCCCTCACAGACATTCATTTGTTCAAGTCTTATCCTAACTGTCACGTGGTCCAAACGGATAGGAACACAGTACAATCGTTCTCCTGATTTTCCTTTTGACCTCTAGAATCTTCCACGCAAACTCAGTACACCATTGGTCCGTGACGAACAGCCCGGTGATTAAACCGCTATTTTCCGAGAAAATTTGGCGTCTCTTTAAAATTTCTCGAGACCGTTCGACGTCGCCAATTGGCAGTTCTCCATCGATTTGAGAAAGAAGCTGAAAATCCGTAGATTGTCCAATCCCCTAAATTTTCTCGAGAAAAGCTTTTTACCAGATTTTCTCGGGAAAGAAAGCACTCGAGGTTGGAGCTCGTCGGCCAAGTATTTGATCGCCGATTGGGCTCCGCTCTGAAAAATTACAGGAAAGAGCAAAACAATTTCTTTTTATTAATTTTTTTTGTCAATTAGGAATTTATACCCACTTTTTAAGGGGATTTGATCGACTTAGAGGAATTCGTAGTTTGAAAAGATGACGATCGATTCGTTACCGGGAAGCTCAGGGTATTTGGATATGTATCCTGAGAGGAAAATGCGGTATTTCAAGAACCCCTTTGTTGTTGGTGTCACTGTCGTTGCTGGGATTGGGGGTCTTCTTTTTGGATACGACACTGGTAAATCTCCATTATCAATCCCTCTCTTCGCTACTTAGAAATAATATGAGTTTAGCTTTGGCTAAAAGTTTTGTCTTTTTTTTTTTAATCTGTTATCATGACATTACATGTTTAAAGTTGATTTTATCTAAATTTTCTGTGTCCATTTTGTTACTTTTTTGAAAAGAAAAAAAAAATCAATTATCGTTCGTTTCCCTATTTGCTGTTTAAACTTTTGGGATAATTTTGTTCAAAATCGATGTTATGAAATATAAGTATATATCACATTAAAATTAATTGAGACTAAAAAAGTATGTAAATTTAACAAAATTTGATTGGGATTTGAGGGTCCGAAAGTAGTTGGATTTTGTTACTGTTGTTAGTGTTACTCTTTATCATAAAGTTTTGGCTACTGCTGGAATTGATGGTGATTGGTGATCAATATAAAATAAACTACACCAATGTTAGGTGTAGAAGTAGGAACTAGTAATTAGTTTATTTTCTTATTATTTTCATCACTTTATGCACAGTTTTTCTTAAATTTCTCAAAACTATTTCAGTCCTCTACTGTTAACTTGGCTAGTTTACGCAATTTTTATTTCACACTCAATTTCCTCTCTCTTGAGAATTGGAGATTGTCTCAAAGTCTTTTCTATGAAAAGAAAATAATGATAATTAACAAAATTTGTGGACTGCAGTTAGAAATTGCATCTTTCATAATTAAGCTTAACGTGCTTCTCTTTTGCTAATAAATTCTCACACTTTTTTTTGTCTTCTCAATTGGGTTTCTTTTGAAAATGTCATCTTGTGAATATGGTAACTGCAGGTGTCATATCCGGGGCGCTTTTATATATCAAAGACGACTTCGAGGCCGTAAATCAAAGTAGTTTCCTGCAGGTACTAGTATTAACGTGTAAATCGTTTTTTTTTTTTTTGTTAAAAGTTATGAAATCTCAACATTCAATTATGAACCAAGTCCTAATTAAAAATACAATAGTTACTAGGTGTCTAGTCTAATCATAGAGAAATAAAATACAACATATAATAAGATAAACTAAACCTAATAATTAAATAAACTTAACCAAACCTGAATAATCCTAATAGATAAACATAATATTAAATTCCTTAGTTAACCAAAACTAAATATTAAAAATATTTGTAATTCTAATCTCTTTTTTAGGCTGCGAAGCAAATGTTTGATACTCTGATTACCTTTATTTATGTATTTTTTTTTTTTTTTGGTATAGATTGATCTGATTTTATAAGATGGCAGGAAACAATTGTAAGCATGGCATTGGTTGGTGCTATAATCGGAGCAGCAGCCGGGGGTTGGATTAATGATGCATACGGACGTAAAAAGGCCACTCTTCTCGCTGATATTATATTTGCTCTTGGATCAGTTGTCATGGCTGCTGCACCAGATCCTTATGTTCTTATATTGGGACGACTGCTTGTCGGCCTTGGTGTTGGTGTAGCGTCTGTTACTGCTCCTGTGTATATTGCAGAAGTATCTCCCTCAGAAATAAGGGGAGGGCTAGTGAGCACAAACGTTCTTATGATAACTGGTGGACAGTTTCTTTCCTACCTTGTAAATCTTGCTTTTACTGAGGTTAGATTTGTCTTCCTCTTTCCATTTCATTCAATTCTGTCGTTTTACACTACTTAAATGACGTATTTCACTTGAAGTAAGTATTTGCCGATGAGGAAATTATTGTATTTTAGCTACCCACTTTTTCTTTTCAGTATTCTCATACTCTTTTACGCTGGAAAAGACTTGTAGAGATGTTTTCAAAAAAAAAATTTCTATGTTATAACGCTGAAACGCAAAAGAAAATGTTGTTTATACATGTTTTTCTTCTTTTGCTAGATCAAGTTTTGAAGTGAGCTCTTTTGATTTAAACCCAGGAAAGACCTTTGGCACAGGGCTTTCACCCTCGGTTTCCCCCCCCCCTTTTGCAGTTTAAATGTTTTATTAAACTATTTTGATAGTGATTGGATGCCTGGAACTTGCTGATGGCAGTGGATGATATCTGCCTTTTTCCTTTGATTCTTCTTCTTGAATTTATCACATAATAAAAACCTAACATTGTTGTTTTAGGATGTTGTATTTCATTTTATGCAAAAGTTATTGGTAGGAAAAGAAAATAAATTTATTTACAGCTCCTTTCAGATATTTTGCTCGCATGAGATGAGAGTTTCTCAATTTTGCAGTTTTCAAGGGGCAGCATCAAGATAGAATTTCGGGCTTGCTATTATAAGATTTCGCACTGAGAAACATCAATAAGGAATCTCTTCCGTTCTTCCCTGCCTAATTTAGATAATGCATGTTGCAACGGTTGTTAATAGCATGCTATTAATTTACTGTGGTCTAAGTTCATTTCGTTGAAATTGGAATAGTAAACCTGAACATACATTTCTCTTATCTTAATAATCAGCAACATATGAGTAGGCTTGTTGAATAGTCTCGGCTACGTTTTGCGCAATACTTTTCTACTTTTGAAGGGGAAGAATAAAATAGTGGGGCATAATTTATTTTATTCTCCGATAAAATAACAAATATTCAACTTTTCAAGAGTTCACATATTATAAGTCTAGTTGGTAAATTGAATAAGATGTATTTGTTCACCATCCTTCTGTAGATTTCTCCACATTTTTTCTGATATATATATATATATATCCTTGTATTATGCATTTAAGATCTTGTCATTGATTGTAGCATTGGACAATTGGTTAGTTAATAGGGATACTTTTCTGTCTTGTACATATGATGTACCTCAGGTTCTTTGTTTTTAAAATTACAATCTTCCACTATTCTCATTTAACATTTAATCTGCAGGTTCCCGGAACATGGCGATGGATGCTTGGAGCCGCGAGTGTGCCAGCTGTTATACAGTTCTCTCTCATGCTCTTCTTGCCAGAATCACCTCGATGGCTTTTTATAAAGGTAATAAAGCACTTACACTACTACATGTCTTTTTTGTTTTATAGTTTCTGTTCTTCTGGCATTTTGTTTTTCATATATAGTCATTTTGATTTTAGATGCTATAATCTGCAGGACAAAAAGGACGAGGCAGTTTCTGTGCTTTCAAAAATCTACGACTTTCCTCGTTTAGAGGATGAAATTGATTATCTTAACTCTCAGTTAGAAGAAGAACGCCAGAAGAAAAAGGATGTTAGTTATTGGGATGTTTTTAAGACAAAGGAAATCAGACTTGCATTTATTGCCGGTGCTGGGCTCCAGGTAAGATGAACTGCTTTGGTTCTTCCGATACGCTCATTTTCAGAAATAATTTGATGTGGAAGCAAAAGAAAGAAAGAGAACCAAGAGAGAGAAGAAATAGAAGTGAGGTAGAGAAATATAGATTAGAGAGATAAAGGGAGTGTAAAGAGAGAATTCTACTGAGAGAAAGAGAATGAGAACTCAAGAGGCTTATCCATATATCCATTATCATTAATCGAAGTCTGAATTAAAGATTCAACCACTTATAGAGAAATCAAACGTAATAATTAGATAAACTCAACATGGTAAAGATAAACTAAACCAAAGTAAATAATCCTTATTGCTAATATACGTTCAAAATTTCTGACGTCTGACTAACTCCTAATCATAATTATTTTGTTACAGTTCTTACATTAGCATTTTACTTCCTTTCTACTTTCCTGCACGATCATTTTGTAATACTTGGATGGCCCAGTAGTGTGAGCATGATTTTTCTGTACTAATAATGAATGGAGCCTTATCAAAGGGGTAGCAACGATTTTCCTAATTTCGATTATGCCCTTGTTTCGTAAGTTGTTATTTCGCTCAAATGATTTAAACTATTTTCCAAAAAGGCACTGTGCTTTTATCCTTGATGATCTGGTGCTATCCTTACTATCAGCATCATCTTAGGCCATTTAAACTGTTTACTTTCAAAAGTGGGATTTAAATATGAAAATCAGGTGGCTGTTCGGGTTTGCCTATTTGAATAGATATATCGAATTTTATACTCAAACCACACCAATAAAATAAGAAGTGTATCTTGTGAGTTGTCTAATGACGAGAAAGGTGTTAGGTTGAGTTGGGAAAGTTTGGTTATCGGCACTTCTTGGTGGACTCAATTGGATGTAAGGCTCCTATACAAAAAAACTGGTCTTGGTGGGTAGTTTTGGTCCGGGCTAGCTTGCGTACAGTCAGGAATAAAAAGTTCTTTCCAATACCTGGGTTTTGGTTATACTCGGAACCCTTGCCACATTGATTAATGGTTCAAAAGGATCCTCCTAGTATCCCTCTTTTTCTTTTTGCACTATTATGATGTTACCTCAGTGTTTTGCTTATATCAAAATGTACCCTATAAAGTATGTGACGGGAATATACTATTGCTGTTTCAGTCATATAACTTATTAAGAGAGACATCCTAAAAACCCAGCCTCGTGCCGGCCCCTCGTGTGACCTGGGATTTTATGTTCATTTTTCAAGAGTGCTTAAACTACCCTTTAAAGTTTTTGAGATCTTGGTTGTGACGTACTGTGGTGCCAAGGCTTTTCGAGCTTGTTCGATAGGAGGGAAAGGTGGGAGGAGCAATATGAATGAGGAGATCAGTAGTTATTGGAGCTGTGATTGTTTGGTAGGGAAGATCAAGTGGATAGAATGGACTGGATGAACAATTAAAATTCTCCAAAGAACTCCCCCCTCGTATTTTGGATGGATTCTAACTGGACTGTAATGCACCAATAAAATGATTTCTTTCCTTTCCCTTGCATCTTTATAACGAACAAGCAAAGTGATTTTTATTTTCTGTCGTTATTTTTTCATACCAAACTTAGCATCTCTCTACAATTCTCCCGCCTTGGTTTTCTACCTTTCCCTCCTTTCTATTTTGTCTGTCTCCCCTGCCAAACAAGGCTTTAGTATTTCTGGGGCCCTTAAAGCCTGTGGGATCTTGGTTATGGGTACTATAATGTTTCTTTTCAATGAATGTGTGCAAGTAGAGAAAGGTTTTATGGTTCAGGAGCTTCTTCTGGAAAATATTGTTATGTACATGCAGATATAATGACGAGTTCTTTTGACTGTTCAGGCTTTTCAACAATTTACCGGTATCAACACAGTCATGTACTACAGCCCAACTATTGTCCAGATGGCTGGTTTCAAGTCCAACCAACTAGCACTTTTACTGTCTCTTATTGTGGCCGGCATGAATGCTGTAGGAACGATTCTTGGAATTTACCTTATTGACAAAGCAGGACGAAAGAAGCTGGCCCTCTCAAGTTTAGCTGGTGTAATTGTATCCCTTCTCATCCTCTGGGGGTCATTTTTTGCTGAATCGTCCAGTTCAACAAGTGGACTCTATGGCTGGCTTGCAGTTATAGGGCTAATGCTGTACATTGCTTTCTTCGCGCCCGGAATGGGACCTGTGCCCTGGACGGTGAACTCGGAGATTTATCCCGAAGCATATCGTGGGATTTGCGGGGGAATGTCAGCTACCGTGAACTGGGTTTCGAATTTGATTGTTGCCCAGACATTTCTTTCGGTCGCTGAAGCGGTGGGGACCGGCACTACTTTCTTGATTCTTGCTGGAATAGCTGTGATTGCGTTTGCATTTGTGGTTGCTTTTTTGCCTGAGACCAAGGGATTGACATTTGAGGAAGTGGAAAGTATTTGGAAGGAAAAGGCATGGGGAAATGGTTCAAACACTCAGAGCCTACTTGAAAGTGGGAACGAGTCATAGTTTATTATCATTTTGTTTTGTGTGATTAAAATGTTCAAGCTATGTGTTATTGTCATGTAAACCAAATCTTTGTATCTACCTTCAATCCACATAAATTATTAATTTTTGAGGGCTGTTTGGCTCGGGCTTCTTAGTTTTTTGTTATTTCTGGGACTACAAATCCTACAACATTACAGGTTTTACGTGAAACTATCAAGAACCCTAGTTAAATGTTGAAAACTTACTTTATGTGTTTTTAACATGCATGTATGTCATCAATTCTGGAATTTCTATGCTTAAAGTGAATTGTGCAACTATTTGAGCTAGTTTTGTGACACTTAAAGATATCATCATAGTAAGACTTTGTTTGTCTTTCAATTTTGGCTGCCCACGCATCAACTCAATCAGAATCTAGTGAACAGAAAATCGAGCTGATTGAACTCATTTGATTATGATAAGCCATTAAATGGGTCATGGCCACTCCGACTTCGAGCGGTCCAGTCGACCGGTCGAGCCGCGAGCGGAATACGAGTAAATCAGGCTGTCGTGCTACGTGCACCAGAAATGGTATAGTCAGTCGTGCATGCCAAATAGACTGAACTCCAGCCATCCCTCCACAGAACAACTCAAACGTGCTTAGCATAGATTCTTATGAACCAAAAATGGCTTGGACAACAGATAAGCATACAGAGAATTCATTTCATCCTTTTTTTTTCTAGGGAGATCCATTATAGCGATTGTTTATCTGTTGTTTGATTTGATTTGCTTTTTCTCACAATATAATACCAGCCACAAAAAAAAAAAAACAAAAACAAAAGGTTTAACTGTGCCGGTGGATTTTATTTTTAAACCAACATAACCGACCACAAAATACTACTGTTTTGATCACCCTTAAGTATTCTATACAATATTGACTGAATCACTAAATAAAAACTAATAGAGGTGAAATATGTAGTTATGCCAACAAATAATCACAGGTCATTCCTCTTGCCTATTTTGCTCTATAACATTACTTCTCATTATTTGCATCTTTCAACTCTCTCATTTCTGAATTTCAATCAAGCATGAGGTCTTGCATCGTCTTTTGTCTAATTTTGCCGGAACTTGTCATATAACTTGCTAAAGTCGTTTGATCATCGTTGACTATTAATCCTTGCCGATGTATTCCGGTGACCGGTATCCAATTTAACACGTGGATGGTTGAGATGGAGATACGACATCTAATCTCGACAAACGACATAACGATAATGTATTTTACAAATCTCATCCGCTCCAATGAAATGATTTCTAATTCAAATATATAAAACATTTCTTAAGTTGAAATTGATTGAAAAACAAGAGTGTGACATAAAATGACCCCCTTTACTTTTAATAGATTAGCAAGAATAGTGTTAAGACCACGGCATGAGCAGTAAAAGGTCAGTGCAAGAATGATATAATGTAAAAGCGCAAAAATGCAAAAAAAATCATCCAATAAGACCATGGCATGAGCAGTAAAAGGTTAGTGCAAAAAAAAAAACAAAAAGCGTCCAATAAAATTAGCAATCTAATCATTGCATCGAAATAGAAAAAAGAAACAATTTTTTCGTCTCTTTTTTTTTGGCTATAATATTGCTATTATTTTTTGTGTTATGTGTGTAGCTTTTCTGGACAGTCTTTTTTCTTGGTCGTTTACCCAAAACAGGAGAAAGAAGAAAAGGTCGCTTTTCCTACCACATAAAACAAAAAGATAAATATATAGTTTTTATTTTAAATATATAAAATTGTAAAATAAGTTGCATTATTGGTCGGAGAGTGACTACAAAAGAACTCTCTAGACAAATCTAAGTTGGGGTAGCACTCCCCTGCTCTCTCGTACATAATTAAGTATTACACCGCCATAATTCTGGAAAGATTACGGATATATTTATTTTACAACTTAAGTTAAAAATGTTGTAGTATAGAATTTAAGTTGTGATTTGAATTATGAAAAAAAAAATAAAACCTACGATTTTGTTTATAAATACGTTTTTATTTTAATGTGATTTTTCATCAGATCTAATAACTAGAAAAGTACATTACATATATGAAATCATATCCCAAAAGAACTCAACAGAAAAAAAAAAAAAACAATAATAGATGGATAGCTATATCTCAATTCATTGATATTTGATTGTTAATACTAGTGATTTTTTTTTTTCCATCCAAATCAGTACACATGGGGTCTCTAAAATCACAAAATAACTAGTTTCACATGCTTGGAAAGGACTTCACAGGCATTATTTTCGATATTTTGTAACCTAAGTGGCATATTCTTTTAACTTAAGGCCTAAAACGCAAAACTTATAAAAAGTTAAAGGCGGCGGTCCGCAATTTACTAATGGTGCGTTTGGTAGATAGATCTAGAATCCTGATTCAGAATCGGTGTTTGTTTATAGTGATTCTGAATCAATATTTAGTTTAGATGATTCAGAATTTGATTTAATGTCTTAAATTAATGTAAATTATGATTCTAAAACTACCACTCTTTTAATTCAAGGTGATTCAAACTCTTGATTCTGAATCATGGTTAACTGCAAATAATTCCCGCGTAATTGAAAATGTGGTGAAAATGTGATTTATTCGTGGCGTAAAACGATTGGTGTCCGGCCTGATCAACAGCATAAGAATGGTGAAGTTCAACACACTTGAGTAATTTTTTATTTATGCCTTGGGATTGTGGGGCCCACAGAGAAAGTTCGTAGTAAATGCTTTCTACCAGAAATGCTGACTCGTGTTTCCCGCTGCAATAATTGAATGAAAACGACGGGCCACGTGGGTTGTTGGGCTGCCATTGTCTTTTATTGGATTTGCTTCGCCCCAATCATGCAGGCCCTCCTGGCCCACATCCTCATTCACGTCATGCCAATCCCATATATCATATATGCATGCATTAGGCATATCATATACATAATACGATACATGATGATATAAAATGATTGTCATATTATTATTATTATTATTATTATGTGGATAAAGGACAAGACGACGTGGATGTGGAAGCGGCTGATAAGCATGATGGATAGCTACGACTGGCTATCGCATTCGCAGCCGTAAAAAACAATAATAGATGTTATCAATAAAATAAAATAAAAACACCCACATATATGATATATAGTTGAAAAATTAACTATATGAGTAGCATCATTATATAGTTATCATCAATGGCGCTATACACTACTGTTTTTTTTTTTTTTTTTTTTAAAGAGTTCTGCAATATATTTTCCTGCAAATAATAAGTGTGAGAAGCGTCAATCGGATCATAAGAGGGCCTCACAAATAAAGTATTTAGTATAAAGATTATGATTCATAATTTATTATAATATTTTTTTCATAAAAAATACACGTAAATTAAAAAAATACAGTGTATATACGTCTATGTTATATATTATTTATAGCAAGAATGCTTAATTTTGGCAAAGAAAACACCTTTTTTCTCAAACTCTAATCAAACAAATACACAAGATGGGCCCACTCACTATTTGCTTTCCAACTAAAGCAAGGATTATGCCATTTCCTTTCTTCAAGGAAGAATTTGAGCACTAGCCATTAATTTCAGTCTTAATAAAAAAAATAAAAAGAAAAGGATTATCTGACCCTTTGTCAAATTTGTCAAATTGCACTCCTCCAAGATTCTAGCTTCTGATGCATCATGTTCCCTATTTTTTTTGCAAATGACTAATAAGACTTGTGTTACGCACAATGCTTGGTCATTATATTCCAACTCAACATTTTACTAAATCAATTTGGAGTTAACTTAAGATGGCCCTAAAAATGATAGCATATTTCCAACAAACAAAACCCTATGTAAAAAAACAGAAGGGAACATTGGGATAATTAACACTTCCTTTATTTTTTTATTTATTTTTATTTTTTTTGTATATGAGAGAAATGTAAATTAATATTAGTTTAAAGGAAAATATTATGAAAAGAAAAATCCATTGCCCCGTAGACATAAACATTTGTAAAATATTGTGTACGCGAGTCTAGCTAGTATATGGAGGAACATGTCCCTCATGCCATATCTAATAATTGAAATAAAATAAAAATTAATTCTACACTTAAAATAGATCAACTTAAAAGACAAAAAAAAATCTAGATATGTACATATCACTTTTGATTTATCATCGTTGGTGCGGTTTAGTCTTTTATCACATTTTGATATAAGATTTGTTGAAACAAATGAAAGTAAGAACGTGAAATAATAAAAGATATATGAGAAATGATATCGCGGTTCGGTAAATACATACTCCGTAGGGTCGCTTAGATGATGAACAATCCACTAAGAACTCAATTTACAACTCAATAAGGACTTAAACTGATAATTAGTCATATTAATTCTTAAAATCTTCCCATAATTGTCATATGAACCTGGATGTATTCTTAGGAAGCATATGAGAATAGGCCGACTGCAATATCACATCCAAATGTCAATCATATCATCAATCACTAATTTACTAAATTTGGACCAAAAGTTGACTTTCAAAATAATTAACTTTGTGAAGTTTCCATATTAGCGCAAACTTTTCAAACTACCAAATCGAATAACTGCCAATTTAATTTCCATCAGATTTCAACTTACTAAAAATGACTAAAGTTGGCCTTCACAAAATCATATCAAAATGAATGACTTAAAACAGTTTCCAAATAATCAAAATTTTTTTAAAAAGACAAAACCAGCTGCGATAAAATCTCCAATTAGATCAATCACAAATCATGCCAAAATAATGCCAACATCAAATCCGGAGATACCAGTCATAAAAACAATACCCCAACAATTATTTCTCATAAATATAATGTTACACATCTATATATGAAGAACTATATCCAAACTCTATAAATTTACACATATACAGAGGCCAAACCACCTTAGGTGAGGGGCATATGCGCCGTGAGGCAAGGGGCTGTTGGTTCCCGAATCGAATTCGAGTGCGGAAGCGTAGTAGGAAAGGCAAAACAGCGGATCGTGTATAACAAAAATTTTCATAAAACTTTTGACATACTCTATAGATTATATTAATTTATGCACGAATAAATTAATCACATTAATTTACATGATTCAAGGATCAACCGAAAAAATACCTGGAAGCCGACTCGGATGATAACTTGAATTTCTTTGACCACGAACAGTCCTTGCTC